TTCTATATCCTCTAATAATTAAGTACCCACAGTGTTAATAGCCTGTTAGAAGGTATTAAAGAAACTGTGGCCTCAGAGAAGCTGGAAATCAAGAATGTTGTCAATTCCCTACTCGTGGTAGAGATGGAATCCAAAACTCTCCACAGGGGAAGATTTGAAGAACTGAAAACAAAGAATAGGATAGTAAACTGAAGGTAAAATCCAGGTTAATAAAGAAGGTAAGGCTTGGGAAAAACAAACAGAAGAGATGGAGAAATGGATAGGCATCTTGCTCTCCAGTGCCTACCAGTATATCATCAGGAAGAATGGAAATGATGTCATATTGACATAATCTTCTATCACCACTGTACTAGAATAGAATGAAAAAAAAAACCCCAGAATTTACCAACAACATATATGAAAAGAAAGTATCATGAAAGTCGAATGTTTTCAATCAAAAATAATGAGAAATGTGCAGAGTACATACACCCTCACATCCTGGACATTTCTCAAAGGCTTGCAAAAAACTCGTAGTGGATATGAGCAGAGATGTGTTGTTTTCAAAAGACTTCTCCAGCAATACTGGTGTGCCCCTTAGCAGATGATCACTTAAGTTGGTCAAATGTGATTCAATACCTCACTATAAACATGGTCATAATAATGGCACTTACTTATTTCTTAGGATAGCTGTGAGGATGTAGGAGATTGTATAACTGACTCATGCAATAAAGATTAGAAGTTATTAGAGTTATCTGGTGTGTAAGCAAAGGGGATCTAAAAGAAGTCTACATTGAAGAGATGTAGCGTGATTATAGATAGAACATAGAAAAGCTGGTGGTAGGGGGTGCCTGGGTTGCCTCAGTCAGTTGAATGTCTGACTCTTGGTTTTGGCTCAGGTCATGATCTCAGGGTCCTGAGATCAAGCCCCACGTTGGGCTCCAAGCTCAATGGGAAGTCTGCGTAAGATTCTCTCTCTTCCTCTACCCCTCCCCCTCATGTGCTCACTCTCTCTCTCTCTCTCTCAAATAAATAGGGGTGCCTGGGTGGCAGGGTCAATTAAGCATCTGCCTTCAGCTCAGGTCACAATCTTGGGGTCCTGGGATTGAACCCTGTGTGGGGCTCCCTGCTCATCGGGGAGCCTGCTTCTCCCTCTCCCTCTGCCCCCCCCCACTCATGCTCTCTCTTTCTCAAATAAATAAAATCTTTAAAAATAATAAAATAAATCTTTAGAAAAGCTGGTGGTATGTGAAGGATAGAACTAGAAGAGGAAAAGGTGAGGCTGTTACAGAAATTCAAATGAGAGGTAGCATAGAATGCAGGAGACATTTTTTAGTTAAGATCCTAGAATCTAGAAAATGTAGGCAACAAGAGAGAATGAGGAATCAAATTAATCTAAGCAAGGGCCTGAAAAATGAGTAAAAGTCTGATAGGAAATAAAATGGTGCAGGGGAAACAGAGGCAGAGGGAATACCATGTAAAAAGGCACAGCAGCATGAGGATCATGCTCTGCGCGGGAACAGGAGGGTGCAGCTGCCTGTTTGGTTGGGTAGAAGGAGCCAGGAGCAGTATTTAGGCACCAGTTGTGATGAGGATTGGACATCATGCTGGGGTATTTGGATTTTCTCCTATACACAGTGTGTAGCTATTCACTATTTTTGACACTATCAGTGACTTAACATATCCTGTGTTTAGGAATCTAACATCTGGGACGCCTGGGTGGCTCAGTTGATTAAGCGACTGCCTTCAGCTCAGGTCATGATCCTGGAGTCCCGGGATCGAGTCCCACATCAGGCTCCTTGCTCGGCGAGGAGCCTGCTTCTCCCTCTGACCCTGCCCCCTCTCATGTACTCTCTCTCATTCTCACTCTCTTAAATGAATAAATAAATTAAAAAAAAAAAAGGAATCTAACATCTGATCACAGGGTAGTGAACGAAATGAAAATGCAACAGATTTGTGACTAATGGACAACTATGCAGGTACCATTTTTACCCTGTGGGAAAGGTCCAGGACAATAGCAGGGGAAATAAAAACAAAAACAAAAAACAAACAAAAAACACAAAAATGGGGGCAAACAGACATCTGGAATTTTGGAAGTGACTTATTGGTAAAAAGATGAGGAAGGAGGGGCGCCTGGGTGGCTCAGTTGGTTAAGCGACTGCCTTCAGCTCAGGTCATGATCCTGGAGTCCTGGGATCGAGTCCCGCATCGGGCTCCCTGCTCGGCAGGGAGTCTGCTTCTCCCTCTGACCCTCCTCCCTCTCATACTCTCTGTCTCTCATTCTCTCTGTCTCAAATAAATAAATAAAATCTTTAAAAAAAATAAAAAAAAGATGAGGAAGGAGTCAAAACGGGTCTGATGGTGACTCTGATGTGTATAGTATAACTCAATCTGGAAATACAGGAGGAAACTCTGACATGTGGGGGAAATATGGTCAGGTCTGTTCTGAAAATCTTGCATTCAACACTTAAACACTCCCACTGGAAATGTGCCAGAAGTTATTGGAGATTCGTTTTTGGTAGTAGCAGAAATTGGAGAGTTACACAAGGTAAGTGGTAGCTGAAGCAATGAGAATGGAAAAACATTCCCTTTAGAGGTAAATAGGGAAACCTTCAGAGGAAAAGTAGCATGATATGGTCTCAAAGACAAGCCATATGGTCTAGGTTGAAGATTGCTCGGGTGGATGAGTTTGCCACATAGGATCTTTGTGTTGGCTGTGAACTGTGCACATACTGTTCTCTCCTCTGATCTACACCTATTGATGACTTATTGACATTCTAGTCTCCATTTAAGCATGTCACCTCCTCGGAGAGGGGGCTTCTCTGACTTCATAGACAAAAGCAGTCATTCACTCTCACATTACAGAGATCCTATGTGTCTGGTTCCATGTCCTTTCCCATGTGTAAAAATGCCTGGCACATCATATACATTTAGTCAATATGTATTGAATGAATTCACGGCTTCTATAGTCACTTAACCACTCCGTAACTTGCTTTCATTGTTTTAGAAATCAGAATGAAAATTCTACATAGACTTGTGAGGATTACATGAGACAGCTCTATCTCACTCCAGCACGTTATAGGTATTAAGTGGGTGCTGGTTACCTGGCCTGACTCCTCTTGTATTCTTTGCCCAAACTACAATGCAAATAGAAAACAGCAACTCTTCAACCATCAATGTATTTGTTTTCTTCTGTTTTTAATCTTTATGATTCCTACGGAATAATTTCCAGTCAGGGTTTATCTTTTTCTCTTGTACACTCCTTCAGTTTCCACTGCTGATTATTTACTATTTTTCTTTCCTTTCAACTTTAATAGTGACTGAAATTAGAATTAAAATTCTGTTGTCTTCCTATCACTTTTCTGTCCTCACCTCTTATAAGATCAGATGCTGAATGAACAATCTAAATAGAAATGTGATTGGCCAAATTGACCTAAAGAATTTGAGTTGATTCTATTCAGGTCTGTACTTCAAAGTAAGCCATATAACAAGTATACCTGCTAGAAAATGTCCTGGATGTTTTGCTAAAAACTCAAAAGTTGACTAGAATGTTATGACCAGAATATGCCATTCTAGAATGAGACAGTACCTTCAAAATCATTTCACTTCAAACTAGGCCATTATATTAGGCATCTGGAAAAAAAATTTCAATGAGAAATTCTTAAGAACTTAAAAATTATTGATATGTATTAAGAGCTGATATTATATATCTCAAGCTCCAAATACTGCCATTGGATAGAACCTAGCAGAAGTTATACATTGCATTCATTTTTAAAAAATTTTTTATTGTTATGTTAATCACCATACATTACATCATTAGTTTTTGATGTAGTGTTCCATGATTCATTGTTTGTGCATAACACCCAGTGCTCCATGCAGAACATGCCCTCTTTAATACCCATCACCAGGCTAACCCATCCCCCCACCCCCCTCCCCTCTAGAACCCTCAGTTTGTTTCTCAGAGTCCATAGTCTCTCATGGTTCGTCTCCCCCTCCGATTTCCCCCGCTTCATTCTTCCCCTCCCGCTACCTTCTTCTTCTTCTTCTTTTTTTTTTTTCTTAACATATATTGCATTATTTGTTTCAGAGGTACAGATCTGTGATTCAACAGTCTTGCACAATTCACAGCGCTTACCAGAGCACATACCCTCCCCAGTGTCTATCACCCAGTCACCCCATCCCTCCCGCCCCACCCCCGACTCCAGCAACCCTCAGTTTGTTTCCTGAGATTAAGAATTCCTCATATCAGTGAGGTCATATGATACATGTCTTTCTCTGATTGACTTATTTCGCTCAGCATAACACCCTCCAGTTCCATCCACGTCGTTGCAAATGGCAAGATCTCATTCCTTTTGATGGCTGCGTAATATTCCATTGTATATATATATATACCCCATCTTCTTTATCCATTCATCTGTCGATGGACATCTTGGCTCTTTCCACAGTTTGGCTACTGTGGACATTACTTTGCATTCATTTTATTCCTACAGTTTTCACCTTTGGAGCTGCTTCATTATGATGCACTGATGAAAAAGGATTGCATTGACTTCCCTAAATTCTTTAAATGTCATATTCATTTTAATCAATAGTTTACTAAGCACTCCTAAGTACCAGGTTGCTAGTCAATCTCAAAAAGCATTTGAAAATGTGGCATCACAAAATCCAGTGGGTGAGAACAAAGCAGTTTTATTCATGTTTTCCTGCTTATGTGTAGATCCTGACTGGAAAAGAGAGAGATAAGAGTGCTTTTGTGAGTAGAATCCATGAAGATATTTGGTCATTTATACAGATTCTCCTATTAGCATCCTTCTCATCATGCTGACTCCTGAACTTGACTTCAGTCAGGTACATTTAGGGTCCCTTTCTCAGGCTCTCCCATGCAGGGTTGCCTGAAACTTGCCCCGGTTTTCTTGACTAAAGTCTAGGTGATATCTGTGCTGCAGCAGCTTTTTACAATCATCTCAGAGGTTTAGCCTCCAGAAGCTCTGAATCTGTGGAAGACAGTTGCTGCCTGCACCACGAGGATGGGCAATCACACCACAGTGAGCACATTCCTTGGCAATCACACCACAGTGAGCACATTCCTCTGTGGGGGTTTTCCAGTTTCCCAGACTTGCAGGGTCTTCTCTTTGTGATGATTTTCTTCTCCCATGTGACCATCCTAGCTGCAAATGTTTCCATAATGGCGGCCATCAGACTCAGTCACAGCCTTCATACCCCCATGTACTTTTTCCTCTGTGGCTTATCCTTTTCAGAAGCCTGTCCCACTATAGCAATCATCCCCCACATGTTAGTGGACTTGTTCTCTGACAGCAAGACCATTTCTCTTTTTTTTTTTTTTAAGATTTTATTTATTTATTTGACAGAGAGAGAGACAGTGAGAGCAGGAACACAAGCAGGGGGAGTGGGAGAGGGAGAAGCAGGCCTCCTGCCGAACAGGGAGCCCGATGTGGGACTCGATCCCAGGACCCTGGGATCATGACCTGAACCGAAGGCAGACGCTTAACGACTGAGCCACCCAGGCACCCCAAGACCATTTCTCTTCCTGAGTGTGCCACACAGATGTCTTTTTTCTTTGGTTTAGCAGCCAATAACTGCTTCATCATAGCTGCCATGTTCTATGACCATTATACTGCCATTCACGACCCACTGCACTACCCCATCTTGATGACCCATAAGATCTGCTTTCAGTTCATCAAGGCCTCTTGGATGGTTGGGTTCCTGGTTTCCCTGTGCATCGTCATCATTGTGTTCAACTTGTCTTTCTGTGACTCCAACATCATCCAGCACTTCTTCTGTGACATCTCAGCTGTGGTCTGCCTTGCCTGTGACTACACCTCCCGTCAGGAAAGGGCTATTTTTGTGCTCTCTGCCTTTGTGTTGGTGGGCAGCTTTGTCTTCATCACGATGTCCTATGTCTTCCTTGTGTCCACAGTTGTGAAGATGCCCTCTGCCCAGGGGAGGGATAAGGACTTCTCCACTTGCTCCTCCCACCTCACTATGGTGTGCATACATTACGGATTTGCTGGCTTTGTCTACCTGAGGCCCAGGGACAGGGATTCGTTGCGTGAGGACATGCTGATGGCTGTCACATATGCAGTGCTGACAACTTTGCTGAACCCCATCGTGTACAGTCTCAGAAACAAAGAGATGCAGATGGCCCTGAGGAAGGTACTAGGCAAGACAGATAGGCTCATCCCTCAGATGGTGAATAAAAGGACACTGGACATTTAAAAATGTATAGACTGCTAATAAATAAAAGTAGAAAAAGTGGAGTATTTCCAATGAAATCGTCTCTTTGTGTACAAAGCAATTACAGTATTAACTAATTACCTAAAATATCCTGACATCACCATTTCTCTAGTACAGTGTATAGTTTTAAAATATGTGTAAATATGTTTGTGTGTGGTGTACACATATATACATATGAGCATCCTTAAAGAATCCAAACTTGTTTTGTAATACAGTATTTTCATGATAGGTATCTGGTGTCTTTTCTAAGAACTTTCTGACTAGCCCTGTATCTTGAACATTTCTCCTACTTTTTTCTAAAGGTTTATAGTTTATAGTTGTTACATCCAGGCCCATGTTCTATTTTGTGTTAGTCCTTATGTAAGGTGTGAAGTTTATGTCAAGGTGCTTCTGCCCTCCATGGGTGTCTCATTGCTCCAGCACTGTTTGTTGAAAGGCCTTCCTTCTTTCATTGGATTGCTTTGGTACCTTTTTAAGAAAAATCAGTTGGGCACGCTTGTGTGGGGTCTTTCTCTGGCTTCTCTAGTCAGCCTCTGTGATTTGTGTGTCTAATCTTCCACCAGTAACACCCTGTCCTGATGACTGTAGCTAAGGAGTAAGCCTTAATATCACGTGAAGTGATTCTTCCCACCTTATTCTTGTCTTTCAAAATTATTTTATATATTCTAGGACTTTTCCTTTTTAGTAATGTAAGCATTTAGTGCTGTAAATTTCCCTCTCAGCACCGCTTTATCTCAATCTCCCATGTTTTGATATGTTGCTTTTTATTTTCATCTGTTATATGTATTTTTTTAAGTACTGAAGTCCCAGGTCTTTTTTTGTCATTTATTTTCTGAGAACTTCCTTTAGCAATTACTTAAGATAGCTTGACAAAGCTATCTTATGAGAATAAATTCTCATAGCTTTCTTTCATCTGACATATCTTTATTACTCCATTTCTGAAGGTGACGTTTTGCCAGTCATAAATTTACATTTGACAATTCTTTTCTTTTAGCCCAGACAGTCCCTCACTTATGATGGTTTTGACTTGTGATTTTTTGCCTTTACATTGATGTGAAAGCTATATGCATTTAGCAGAAACCATACTTCAAATTTTGAATTTGCATCTCTTCCATCACTCATGATGCGGGGCAGCAGCATGGAGCCACAACTCCCAGTCAGCCACACAATCAGGAAGTAAATAACTGATCCACACACAACTGTTCTGTAATTATACAACCATCTGCTTCTCACTTTCTGTACAGTATCCAATAAATTACGAGAGAGTCAACACTTCATTATAAAATAGGCTTTGTGTCAGATGATTTTGCCCAATTGTAGGCCAATGTTAGTGTTCTGAGCATGTTTAAGGATGTTCTGTAGGTTGGGTGTATGAAATGCCTTTTCAGCCCTGTTGAGGTGTAGCTGCAAGCACCATGTCAGTGTGTGTGTTCACCTTCCTATTGAGCGCTACTGACACAACTCTAGCAAAACGCTCCCAGCAGATGGTTGAGATGGAAGTCCAGCTGCCCACTCTGCCCTGATGGCTCTTTCTTAGTGATAATATGACACTGGCTACATGCCTTCTTGCCCCCAAGTAAGCTCAGTTCCTTGTTGAGTTCCACTGCCACTAGGAAAGGGGGAAGTAGAGAGCAGGTTCATTCTGCCCTATCATTGCAGGGTGCGGGTGAAAGCTCAGCTCAGTGGGTGTACTCCCAAGTAGGGCTGGAGGCAGGGTGAGCAGAGTACCATTAGCCCCACCTCACAATCCCTCATTAAGTCTCATGCTGCCAGGTGACAGTGGAGGCTCATTTCCCCACTGGACCTGACTGACATTACCTGGGCAAGGGAATCAGAGGGTGGGTGGGGGGAACATAAGCAACCTGCTTGGCCCCACTGAAACCTGGGGGTGGATGGCGGGTACGATTTTCCATAGGTATTTGTCTGGAGTAAGGTAGATATGGCCAAAATGTTTTATATTCTGTTAAGGCCACTCTTTCCCAGTTCTTTGGTTAGGAGAAACTGGGTTTTCTTAGGGTTCTTTTTGTCTGTGTCTCTTGGTGGTTCTGGATGGGAGGCTTCTGTAGTATGCTGTCCAGGATATAAGGAAACCCAGGGACTCACTGCTGTGTTGTTCCTCAGGTCCCCAAATCCCTAGGAGGCTGCCTTCTTCTTTCTACCTTTAGAATCTTCCTATGCTTATTTGTTTTATCTGTAACAGATTTTTTTGTGTTTGGGGTGTGTGTGTGTGTGTGTGTGTGTGTGTGTGTGTGTGTGTGTAACAAGAGGGGAGGACCTGAGAGGAATGGAGCTACTTCATCTTCAGTGGAACCAGAAGTCTATGCTTTAAAAAATTTAGAGATATTTATCTACCTCCTAATTTATTTTGTGCCAGAAAGTTGGTCATTAGACCAAGTTAGCCTGACATATCCAACAGAGAAATCTCTCCCCTGAACTCTGAACAATAAGGGTTGACTGGAAAGGAATGTATCTGGGACAGATGAAAGTCCTCTAGTGGTGAAGTTGTCTTGATGAGCCCCACACCCCAGTCTGTCAGAGAGTATATGCCTTAAAAGAAGGCAAAATATTCAGAGGATATTTGTGACCTTGAGGTTTTGCTTAACCTTTATATGCCTCAGTCACATCCTCTGTAAAATACAGATTAAGAAACAAAAAAAAACTTCATAAGGTTATTCTGAGGATTAATTAGGTCAATATGTGTAAATCCCTGAGAACAGTACCTGGAATGTGGTAAACACTCTCATAGTGTTAGCTCCTATTGCTCACACTGGTACCACTGGTAATACTCCTCTCACTAACATTTGATTTCTAGATCTTCTAACTCTCCACCCATGTAAATACATGAGAGAGACATTATTCAGCAGAGGGTGATTACAAAACTTTTACTAAACAAGGCTGGGATTCTAGTTGCCGATCTGTGAAACGGTGTGGAGGCAGTGGCGTAGCCGTGCTGAGCATGAGTTTGTGCAAAAGCCTGTCACAACTGTAGCAGGATGTGACCCAAACATTTAGTCACTTGCGTCAGGCTGAAGCATTCAGCAGATCAGTGGCCAGGATTCTAAGGCAGCAGAGTCAGTGGTTCACACCAGAGCGAACACTCATTCAGTCATCCATTCCCTTGTTAATTTTTCATTCATTCATTTCAAATATGCATTTTTGCTTACTGTGTGTCATTTACATGTATGGGGAAAGAGCAAAGTCGTGGTGGTAGCTATGGAAGGCTTTCAGCATTGTGGAGAAAACAAATATTAAGTCTGTAAGTGCACTGAATATACTGAAGAAAATATGCAGAGTTCTACAGGTGTACTAAATTGGTTCTGGAGCCTCAAGAAGTCTTCACAGATAGGAAACAACACTCAAGTTGGTATCTATAGCATAAGTAGGTGTTACCAAGGTAAGGGGGGCAGTAATGAATTCAGGTAGGGGCACTGCATGTGAGAGGGTGCTGAGGCAGCAAAGGCTATGGACCTGTTTAAGGATTTAAAAGAAGACCAAATGATTGATTCTTAGAGTTTGGGTATTTGGAGACCAAGGAAGACTGGCAAGAGATAGAAATAGAACAGGGGCTGTATTCAGGACTCTGTGAGTAATTTTAAGAATTATTGCCTTTTCAAATGTTACCAAACATTTAAAGAAGAGTTTAATACCTATTCTACTCGAACTATTCAAAAAATAGAAGAAGGAAAAGTTCCAAATTCATTCCATGAGGTGAGTATCACCCTGATAGCAAAACCAAAGATACCACAAAAAGGGAGAACTATAGGCCAATATCTCTGATAAAAGTATATGCAAAAATCCTCAACAAAATACTAGCAAACAGAATCCAACAATCCATTAAAAAAAAACCATTCACCACAATTAAGCAGGATTCATTCCCAGGATGCAAAGCCAGTTCAATATTCACATATCAATCAACATGATACATCACATCAGTAAGAGAGAGTATAAAAACCATATGATCATCTTAATAGATGCAAAAAAAGCACTGGACAAAGTAGAACATCCATTCATGATAAAAGTAGGTTTAGAGGGAACATACCTCAACATAATAAAGGTCATTTATGAAAAACCCACAGCAAACATCATACTCAAGGGGGAAAAATGACAGCTTTGCCCCTAAGATCAGGAACAAGACAAGGATGTCCACTCTCACCATTTTTATTCAACATAGTACTGGAAGTCCTAGCCTCAGCAATCAGACAAGAAAAAGAAATAAAAGACCTTGCCAAATTGGTAAGGAGGAAGTAAAACTTTCACTATTAGCAGGTGACATGATACTATATGTAGAAAACTCTAAAGACTATACCAAAAAACTACTAGAACTGATAAATGAATTCAGTAAAGTCATAGGATACAAAATAAGCGTGCAGAAATCAATTGTATTTCTATACACTAATAATGAAGCAACAGAAATAGAAATTAAGAAAACAATTCCATTTACAATTGCACCAAAAATAATAAGATACCTAGGAATAAACTTAAACAGTTGAGAGACCTGTACTCTGAAAATTATAAAACACTGATGAAAGAAATTGAAGACAACACAAAGAAATGGGAAGACATTCCATACTCATGGGTTGGACAAACAAATGTTAAAATATCTATACTACCCAAAGCAATCCCTAAGAAAATACCAACAGCATTTTTCATAGAACTAGAACAAAAAAATCCTAAAATTTATATGGAACCACAAAAGATTCCAGATAGCCAAAGAAATTTTGAAAAAGAAAAACAAAGCTGGAGCTATCACAATTCCGGGCTTCAAGTTATATTACAAAAACTGTAGTAATTTAAACAATATGGTACTGGCCCAAAAATAGACACATAGGTCAATTGAACAGAACAGAAAACAGAAACAAACCCACTATGTTTGTTTGAGGATATGGTTAATCCTCGACAAAGCAGGAAAGACGATCCAGTGGGAAAAAGACAGTCTCTTCAACAGTGGTGTTGGGAAAACTGGTCAGCTACATGCAAAAGAATGAAACTGGACCACTCTCTTATACCATACAAAAAATAAATTCAAAATGGGTTAAAGACCTAAATATGAGACCTGAAACCATAAAAATCCTAGAAGAGAGCACAGGCGATAATTTCTCTGACATCACCCATAGCTATATTTTTCTAGATGTCTTCTCAGGCAAGGCAAACAAAAGCAAAAATGAACTATTGGGACTACATCAAAAGAAAAAGCTTCAGCACAGCAAAGAAAACAATCAACAAAACTAAAAGACAACCTACTGAATGGAAGAAGATATTTGCAAATGACATACCTGATAAAGGGTTAGTTTCCAAAACATATAAAGAACTTATAAAACAATACCCAGAAATGAAATAATCCAATTAAAAAGTGGACAGAAGACATGAACAGACATTTCTCCAAAGAAGACATCCAGATAACCAACAGCCACATGAAAAGATGCTCAATAGCACTCATCTTCAGGAAAATGCAAGTCAAAACTACAATGGGATATCACCTCACAGCTGTCAGAATGACTAAAATCAAAACACAAGAAACAACAAGCATTGGTGAGGATGCGGAGAAAGGGGAATGCAAGCTGGTGCAACCACTGTAGAAAACAGTATGGGGGTTTCTCAACAGTTAAAAATGGAACTACCCTATGATCCAGTAATTGCACTACTAGGTATTTACCCCCAAAATACAAATACACTAATTCAAAAGGATACACGCACCCCTATGTTTATAGCAGTATTGTTTATAATAGACAAATTATGGAAGCAGCCCAAGTGTCCATCAATACATGAATGGATAAACAAGAAGTGGTGTGTGTGTGTGTGTGTGTGTATATATATATAAAATGGAATACTACTCCACCATAAAAAAGAATGAAATCTTGCCATTTGCAATAACATGAACGGAGCTAGAGAATATAATCCTAAGTGAAATAAATCAATGGAGAAAGAGAACTACCATATGATCACACTCATATGTGGAATTTAAGAAACAAAACAAATGAGCAAAGGGAAAAAGACAAAGCATGAAACAGACTTAGTTATAGAGAACAATCTGATGGTTACCAGAAGGGAGGTGGGTGGAGGGATGGGTGAAATAGGTGATGGGTATTAAGGAATGCATTTGTCATGATGAGCACTGAGTGGTGTATGGAACTGTTGAATCACTATATTATACATCTGAAACTAATATAACACTGTATGTTAACTATACTGGAATTAAAATTAAGTAAATAAAATTTGCCTTTTTTCTAAGCTCTTTGGGAGATATTAATGAAAGAAGTCATGGTTGTATGGAGAATGAATTGGAAGAACATAAAAGAGGGTAGAGGAAAGCTGGTTAGGGTTGTATTAGGATTATCCAGAGACACAGAACCAATAAAAAATATATATGAATATATAAATACATATACAGAGAGAGAGATTTTAAGGAAGTGGCTCACGTAATTGTTGGAGTTGGCAATTTCAAAATCCACAGTGCAGTCCAGCAGACTTAAAATTCCGTAAGAGTTGATGTTGAAGTCTTGAGTTCAAAGTCATTATCCCTCTTTTTCAGAGGACCTCAGCCTTTTCTCTTCAGGCTTTCAACTGGTTGAACAAGCACCCCCCACATTATGGAGGGTAATGTACTTTACTCAAAGCCTACTGATTAAATGTTAGTTACATCTAAAAATACCTTCACAGCCACACCAAGACTGGTGTTTGACCATAGCTGATCACCATAGCTTAGTCAACACATAAAATGAGCTATCACAGGAGTCCTATTGTAAAATAAATGTATAAGGTGGTAGTTTAAAATACAAGTGCTGACAATGAAATGAAAAGAAGGAGGAAGTAAATATTGGACTCTGAATGTATAATAACATTTTGTGACTGGATGCAGAATGTGAAGGGGAAAAGAAATCCATTTCTCTCAGGGTTCAGAATCCATAAACTGAATGAGGGGCCTCTTCCTGGGATACATAATATTGGAGGGAGCAATTTGGGGTAGGAAATGATACTTCCGTTTGAGATCATCTGTGCTTCAGTTTCATTAGACAAAAATATTTTTGTCTAAAACGTTAAAGAGAGGACTGGAAAAGAGAAATAAGTGTGGTAGTTGTCAGTACATAAAGGTAAGTTAAGCTTCATGGGAAAAACACAATCCCAGTCCCCTCCAGCTTCCTTCACAGGATGTGAGTCTGCCCATGAACAAGTCACTCCAAGAGTTGTCCCTGAGGAGTTCAGGAGTCGTGCTCACTCCCACAGAGAAGTCACCTATCTCACCTGACAGAAGCATTCACAGGTTAGTCAGGGGCATCTTGCCCTGTTCTTTTATGAGGTCCCTGCAACTAGGCTGGAACCAGAGACCCAGAACACAGGCCAGCATTTATGGGTCCACAGAGCCCACCCCCAGCAGATAACCTTACTGCAAAAAAATGTTTCCAGTAATTTTGCTGTCTGGTTCCACTTGGTCATTTCCCCTGAGGATGTACTCAGTCATAATAATTATCATGCTTATTTCAGGATAAACTGCTGTTGAAATGGACTTAGTCTTAAAGGTTTGGAGGTACAATAACCTTAGCTAATACAGAGAACTGCTTTTGAAAAATATGAATAAAAGTTATGATTTTCAGTTGATTAGATACGTTTTCATGTGAACCAATTTGTGTTTATAATTTAAATTAAAATTAATTTTGTTAAAGGTAACTCACTATAAGCCTCTGATTTACAAATTGATATCAGAAAATCCACCCTCTACTTTACTCTAAAAAGCTCCATGCTGGCTGACATATGGACTGACATGTTTAGACCACAGACACTCAATATCCTTTTTATTATTATATTTATGGTATATTATTTTATCAAATACTATAAAATAACAAGCTTCACTAAGAAAATACTTTCCTGCCCAGCTCTCTCCTCAGAGCCCCCTTCATCTCACTGTTCCTGAGGCTGTAGATAAGGGGGTTCAACATGGGGATCACCACCATGTAAAACACAGACACCACCTTGTTCTGGTCAGTCGAGTAGCAGGACTTGGGCATCACATGAATGAATGTGATGGTCCCATAGAACAGAGTGACCGCTGTGAGGTGGGACGTGCAGGTGGAGAAGGCCTTGTGGCATCCCTCAGTGGAGCGCATCTTCAGGATGGTGATGAGGATACAGATGTAGGAGACCACTATGATGCACACCATGACCACAATGATGGAGCCAGCCGTAAATGAGGGGACAACTGCAGGGATACTGCTATCAGGAGAGTTTAACTAAAGGAGCAAAATCACAGAAAAAATGATTGACTTGATTTGGTCCACAGAAGAGTAAAAGAGAAGCAAATAGTGAAAGAGGAAGCATTGAGAAAACCACCTATGTAAGTCACTGCGAGTAGGCAAACACAAACTTGCGTGCACATTTTGGTTGAATAAAGCAGTGGGTTGCAGATTGCCATGAAGCGATCATATGCCTTGGCAGCCAGCAGGAAGCACTCACTTGACCCAAAGAAAACAGGTGAACGCAGCTGGATGGCACATCCAAGATACGCGATCGTATTTCTCTCCACCAGGAAGTTTATAAGCATGTTGGGTGTGACAGAAGATGAATAGCCTAAGTCAGCCAAGGCCAAGTGGCTCAGAAAAAAATACATACGGTGGTGAAGCTGAGAGGAGATCCTGATCAGAATGATTGTGCTAAGGTTGCCAGATATGGTCACCAGGTAGACACAGAGGATGATCATGAAGAGGATGACTTGAAGGACAGGGTCGTCAGTTAGGCCCAATAAAATGAACCCTGTCCCTGCAGTGTGGTTCCCACCCTCCAGGGAATCCATGAGGCAATGTAGCAGCTCCCCAAATGAACCTGTGGTGAGAACATTACAGGAGTTAGAAATTCGATGGCTTCATTTTCATTAATGCACAAAGAGGTTATTATAAACAAGTAAATATTCAAATTAAGTTTGGACTTTTTTTTTTTACTTCAGAGTAAAAAATTTAATATTTTACATATAGTTTTAGAGTAAAAAGTTTATGTATTTATGTATATGAGTATTCTCTATTTTAAGAATTCAGCAGAAACTAGGAAACCTTCAAATAATGTACCCTTTTCTCTTTATTTATAAAATGTATTTAAAGTAGCTTTAAAGCTAAAGATTAAAAACATAAGACTTACATAAAGAACAAAAGGAATGGTAAGCATAACAGAAAGAATGAAAATGTGTATAATAGCCTATATTTACACATTTTAATGGAGTCTTGAGTAATAGCTAACGTTATTGAATGCTTACTAAGTAGTGGGCACAGGGTTAAGAATTTTGTATATATAGCTGTACTTTAATTTCTATGAAATAATATTAAACATTTTTGTATGATTTATAGATGAGGAAACTGACCTTGAAAATACTAAGTAATTTATCTAAGTTTACGTAGCATGTGGTAGAATCAAAATAGGAATCCCAGACAGTTTGAATCTAGTTCATTCCTTTGGTAGCTATGCTATAAATGCAATTAAATAATATTTAAGATGAAGCAGAGTCTCTTGGAAATGGGTGGATAACAAATTACCCTTTCTACTTGAGGATAGCTAACATATAAAAAAGGTACTAATCACAAAGTTTACAGTATCAGTAAAACAAGACCATCTTTTAAAAAGGAGAAATACAATTTTCTTGATAGGACAAAGAAGAAATAAAAAGGAATTTCAAATTAAGGTTATAAATGAAAAGTCACCTATTGTAAATTTATTATGTACATGTAATATTTAAAGTATTGTCTTATTAAGTAGATTATATGTCAATCTAATTGCTATGCAAAACATATGATTAATATCTAGGATATAATTAAACTACATTTATTCAGACAAATCATTTTCTAAGGTAGCAATGTTCTCTCATTGGAGAATTATAGAATAAAATAATTTTATTTTCAACATAATGTACAACTGAATGAAGTTCTAGCCTGAAAAGTTAAGAAGTTTACCCATGTCCACCCAGCGAGTGGCCAGATTGAATCTCTTCTGGCTTTATATTCTAGACTTTGTCCATTGTATCTGCTTGTGTGTAAGCTAAAGCATTCAGAACAATAAGTAAAGGAAGTCTTTCCGCAAGATATTTACTAACAGGAAGTCCCCAAAGCATCTCAAGGCTAGTGAATTCAGTAGCATTATTGTTGAGTTCCAAGTGTATTTAGATGGTGTAAGAAGACCATGTGAGTTTCTGGTCTCAGGAGTGGATAAATGATGAATCCTTGTACCTGGAAGTATGCCTATTTATATGCACTAAATAGGCCGCAGAAATGTAGATTAACTCAGCTAAGGTCACCTGTTAGCCAACTGCTGGGTTACATCTGCCCTGTTTATCCACAATGACTTGAGAGTACAGATACAACTTGAGAGAATAGTATTAAGTCACGAAAGCCAAAATCCTAACTCTTGAAATAAGAATTCATTCGTCCTAGAGCAAGAAATTCAGTCATTGTTATACAGCAGCCTTGCTATCTTATATTACTGTTTGTCTTTGGGAAGAAATCTCTGAAGATTCTAGAGATTGAACTGTGAATTTAAAAGCACCAGAGATCATTATCACATTCTTCAGTGAATATGGAGCAGTTCCCTTCACACAGACACAGCTCATCTTTAAGGGTTCTGTCAATTCTCAAGTAATCTTTTTGTTTTTGTTTTTTTTATCTAGATATTGGTGCCCTTTCATTTGATAATTACTGGGAGTGTAATATAATAAATTATCTCATGGCTGAATATTGGCTCCAAGTGTACTTTGATATTTCAGGTTAAGGAATACTAAAATTATGAAATATAACTTTAGCTCCACTCATTCAAAATGTGTTCATTTTGGGCGTATTTTATAGTGATACCTCCATTAGGTACATGGGGTAACAGGGTGGAATGCCATGGAAGGTTGAATTTTAAATAAGACAATTTTTAAACATGTATACATTTTTTCCTAGCAAAAAGTATTAAATGAGTATCTTTAAAATTGTATATACGTAGGGAACTCTGTAGTATAAAGATGTTTGGGATGACTTCCTGATCAGACTTGGCCTGCATGCCTCAAAGGTATGACTACTGGCTAGTGGTTTATCCCACAAGAAGGATGATGATAGAAACAGCTGTCTTCAACCTGAACACTCAGTCTAATTCTCTTGCTAAACCAAATTGTGGAAAGTCCTATCTCCCCTTCCTGATACACTCTTGATGGACTTTCGAGTAATAATACTAGCCAACCTTTGTTCACATTTGACTCCTTACCAAACACGGCGCTTGATTTTTTGCTTATTTTCTCATTTAATCCTCACAATAATTTGGTGCTAAGTATTTCCATTATTTTAACTTTACCAAGAGAAAGCTGAAGCTTAGATTAAGCCACTTGTCCACATGCGCTCAAATGGTCGAACTAAATCCTGGTTCAAAATTCAGGTCAGACTAAATGCTAGAAGGTGTAGTTTTAACTAGAACTGCCGTCCAGGCAACTTCAAGACTTGAGTGCCTCAGTGATAACCACTGGTTCCCAGCCAGTCCTTGATTTAGTTTTCTCTCTCCCCTTAACACTGCCTAATTCCCTAAAACTGGCAGGGCCTACAGTCTGTCCCTGAGTGATGTAGTTTTTGGAATGTTGGTGAGGTTGGTGGGGCCTGAAACCGACAGCCAAGAAAGAATTCTTGAGACATCTTTAGTGCAAAATGGTGGTTTTATTAAAGCTCAAGGACAGGATCCTTGGGCAGAAAAAGCTGCTGTCCCTGGATTGTGAGGGGCAACTGATTATATACTTTAGGGTGGGGAGAAGTAACAGGAAGTTCCAAAAGGACTTTCATATGCTGAAGAAGACTCACAGGATACCAGGAGACCTTGCTATTGTTAAACTAAGGCTGTTTTTCCCTCTAGCAAGGCATTAACATTAAGACAGTTGGGAGCGTCCTGGAGAAGGGTCATACTCCACATGACTCAAGATTTGTCAGTGGATTGCAGATTATGAGGACATTTAATTTTATCTACATTTCTTCTGCCTTTGTTTCCCACATCACTGAGAACCAGGCCAATACTCAGGATCCTAATTTCCAGGACTGTGTTCATCAATAACCAGCTCCTGTTGATTTTACCTCCTAAGTGATGTAGGAAAGACATTAGGATTCAAAGCTAACAGCCAAGAAAGAATTCTTGAGAAGTATTTGGTGCAAAAAGGTGGTTTTATTAAAAGCACGGGGACGGGCCCTGTGGGCAGAAAGCGGCACTGGGGTCATGAGGAGTGGCCAATCATATACTTTCAATGTAGGAGGGGGTTAAGGATAGTGTAGGTCTCTAAGGAATTTTGGAAGCAAGGTTTCCAAGACCTTGAGGGGGCTAGCTATTGTTGGGAAAAGGTCATTTATTACCGTCTAATAAAACCTTAGTCATGAGATCCTTCAGATGTATATCGGTGGGCCATATGCTTGGGGGATGATTGCCAACACATATCTTGGGGGGTTTAGAGATAAAGGAAATTTCTAAAGGAGTTTTTATATGTTAAAGTAGACTTACAGGATCCTGGCTGGGAGAGGGGATTGGGCTAAAATTGCCTTTTGCCCTTAGCAAAGTATTAACATCGAGACAGTTGAGTCCTTAGAGGAAAGTCCTTAGAGGAATGTCACTCTGCCTGTTTCAAGGACTTGTCAATGGGCTGTAGGTATTAAGGAAATTTAATAATTTTTCTTTTCCTTTGTTTCCCATATCACTAAGTTCCTATCAAATGTGTCCACTTCTTTGCCTCTCAACACTGCAATAGCTATCCTTATTGATTTTCCTATAAGCACATTTGGCCTTCCACACAATAGCCAGAGGGAGTTATTAAAAAGATTTAATATTATTCACTTTTGCACTATCAAATAATTATATGCCCTTAGTTAAAATGGCTCATAAAGAAAACAATGGCCCACTGAGCAGTTCTTCACAAATCCAAATTCCTACTCCCAGCAGGGAACAACTTTTGACTCTTTAAACTAGTTCATGTTTGAGATACCTCAGTGTCTGTAGATCATATGCTTTCCTAAAGAAAAATTAGGATTTCTATCTGTGTTCGGCGTGTGATATTGTGATGAATAATAAGAAATATATGTTTGGTCTTAGTCTTGGTTTCTAGCACAGAGCTCTTAAAACCTTCAGAATTTCCTAAGTGGTGAGAGCAACCAGGAGCCTTTTGTTATGTTAATGAGGTGACTCTGGGCATGCACTTCAGGGATTGGGGCTTGGGGCTGTAGCCCGGGGGAAACAACCATGTGATTAGAGGGGTGGAACTTCTGGGGAGGCGAGAGGGGCTGGGTACTGAATCAGCTAAACAATCATGCCCAGGTAATGAAGCTTCCATAAAACCCCAAAGGAAGGGGCCGGGAGAGGTTGGTGAACTCATGGAGATTTGGGGAGAGTGGCGTGCGCAGAGAGCACGGAAGCGCCACACCCTTTCCCCATGCCCTATGCGTCTCTTCCATCTGGCGGTTCCTGAGTTATATCTTCACATAATAAATCGGTAATCTAATATGTAAAATGTTTCTTTGAGTTCTGTGAGCTGCTGTAGCAAATTAACCAAACCTGAGGTGGGGGTTGTAGGAACCTCTAAACTACAGCCAGTGGGTCAGACGCACAGGTGGTACCTGGGTTTGGGATTGGCAGCTGAAGTTAGGTGATGGGGGGCGGGAGGAGTTTTGTGGGACTGTGCCTTTAAGGTGTAGGGTCTGATGTTATCTCCAGGTAGATAATGTCAGAATTGAGTTGAATTGTATGACACTCAGTCAATGTCCAGAGAATTACCTGGTGGTCCTGGGGAGGATCCTCCCCCTGCATTGGAATTAA